CCGAGCCCCGTTTTCAGCTGGGACGGCTTCCTGCAACTTGTGCCAGCGAAAACGGAGCACCATTTTCGCTGGAAGAGGTACCACAGGCCACTCCATCACTGTTTCCAGGGTGACCCCATAGGCCAGATCTAAGGAGCCCATGGGCCAGATTAAGCCAATGGGCCTTGAGTTTTACACCCCTGGTTTAGAGGTAAGTAGAACTATTTTTGTTATTCTGAGGAGGATTTATTGATATTGTCAAAACTGACATCAAAAGCTGAGACAATTCCACTAAAAAGATCAGTAGAATTCTTCCTGTTAAGTAAATGCACTCAGTAGGCAATTCTAGGTTCTATAATTTTTAAACCAGTGCCTAGGGCTAGTCAAGAAGACCACAATGTCTTAATCAACTTAGTATGGCTTGGTGTGACCTATGAAGGCAGCCACCTGGCTGAAAAGGAGGATGAAGCTAGAGCAAGCAATGCATACGCCATGCATTGCTTGCTGTCATCTTGCCATACTCAATGGGAGAGGGGATTGTGGGGTGGGATAAGGGGGTGCCAGCATGAGAGGAATTGAAACTACACATAGTGTCATCCCGTGAAAGCCGCCGATCGCTCCCTGGTCACACCATGGAATGCAAAATTATCCAGCCCGAGAACACTTTGTTAGCACCTAGTTGGACACTCACAGTTAAGCAGGGGGATAAGGTGAGAACAAGAAAAAAGTTAATCATATGCTTTGTGCATAAAAATCCCAGATCTGGCTTTGCTTCTTCTGTAACCACTTGGCTTTAGTAAGTGTACTTTGTGCTAATAATGTTTTCAAGTCTTTCTTTTCTAACTGGCAAGTTGGGATGGTCGAGAGAGCCTTACTTTCTACTACACAAATCTAGGCATCGTGAAATCTAAGAAACTTGTACTTGTTGCCCAATTCTTGAATCTTCCTTCTCCAATCCCATCTCCCAGGTCCCGCAAGTACAGAACATGTAGTCATGTATCACATTTGTTTCCTGCCCATCTCACCACAAGGCGACTCTGGGCAGCTTACAACATTAAAAACAATAAAACCATAAAAATATATACAGGCAGTCCTCGACCTACAACCATTCTTTTAAGGACCGTTTGAAGCTACAACAGCACTGAGAAATTGATGCAACCTTAACTACTGTGTCCACATTCTGACATTTCCCTTTCTATAAAAAAACAAAAGGTAAAGAAGTCTTGCAGATTTAACTCCATTAGTTGCTGCCAATCCTAGGGGGAGGTATTCATCTCTGTTTCAAGGCCACTGAGCCACTGTCTGACGACACTGCCACAGTCCTGTGGCCAGTATGACGCATCCTTCCCATCAAAGTGGTACCCATTTATCTACTCGCAGTTGCATGTTTTCAAACTGCTAGATTGGCAGGAGCTGAGGTGAGGATGGGAGCTCACCCTGTTGCATGGAGTTCAGGTCTTGGACCTGGGTTGCCGGCTTTCCAGCTGACAAGCCCAGTGAGCCAACATGCTGCCCTTTCCTTTTCTCTAGTGCACTGCACATTCTCAAAATGCAGAAATAAAGCTTTAGAATCCAGGACTTACCTATGAGGGGAGGAGAAAGTGGCACAGGACTTCATATCCAGTGCTGGGTCTGTCAAATCAAGTTCAAATATTTCTAGGGAAGCATTGGTACTGAAAGTGGCATCCAGCTGCTGAGCAGAGGTACCTGCAAGAAACACACATTTACTTAATACTGACATATT